ATTAGGCATGTTCTTATTTATTTAGGAAATAAGATTTTATAATGGACCGGAGAAAAAGAAATCAATTCTTTTTGGGTAAATTACAACAACCAGTGAGGTATGGTAAAATAGCAAAAACCCTCCTTATGTTTGTATAATTATAACAACTCCTTAACTATAAATTTTCTTACACGTTCACCCTTGTGGTTTTAAATTTTATTGGAATCTTCTTTATTATATGGAATATTATCACTTTTGTACCCGTTTTATTTCATTCGAGCTCCACATTTTGAAGCAAGATGATCATAAGCTGTTTTTTTTTTGCTTGTATATATATGATTGTGGTGCATCAGAAACTGTATTTTTACAAACTAGAGCACATTCCACGGAATTTAGATGATTATGTTAATTTTGACCCCATAAGGGTGGATGTGAAAGAAAATTCCTAGTTGAGGAAATAAATATAATTATCCAAACAAGAGAGGTATTTTCATAATTTGACCATACATCAGGGGTGGTTGTAATTTACCCATATTTTTTTAAAGAGAGAAATAAGCTATATATGATTGAAGCAAGACAAATTGAAGTTGTGATATATGAAGAGAGAGAAATTTATGATTTAAATATAAAAACAATTAAAACTTAAATAATGCCACATCTCGGCAGGATAGCGATCCGGTGATAAACACCGAGTGTAGCATCGAGGCTGCCGCCCATTCTTGAGATGAAACAAGCAATTACACTAATTAAAATTCGTTGTATATAACAATCCATACATTAAATCACTTTATTATAACCCAAAAATGAAGTACATCTAAGCTTATTATTCGATATATGTATATTATAAATAAGCTTATTATTCGATATAAAAATTCAAATATCCCATGCTCAAATATTATATATATTCTCTCAACAATTTAATTCATTAATAAATAAAATAAAATTAGCAATGTTTGTAGCAGTAACATCTTCGACGGAAGCCATGGCATTTTCCACCTTCAAAACCTTCAATTCTGCAAATAGTGCTACATTTTGTACTGCTTATGCAAATTCCAAAATGCTTTTCACTTTTGTAGTGACACTTTTTCCTCCCCCATTTTTCCTCTAATTGCCCCTCGCACGTTCCTGCACGCACAAAAACACTCGCAAAATTATATATAAAAAAAATAAATAATATTATTTAAAAAAAAAAGTTGAGAAAGTACCAGCGATGAGAACAAGCATCAACAAGAAAACACCAATCATAATAGAATTGTATGAATTCTTCATCTTGAAAATGATTAAAACTTAATTATTTTGAGTAATTAGAATATGTAACAATTACTTGTTTATATTGGTATATATAATTGGAAAAACGATGCCGTTTGAATTAATCATGGCTATAAACATTAAACTTGAATTTCAGTACATAATAAGAAGAAATAAGTTGTTTGGGATGTTTTGCCAATTGTAATTACTATCTCGACCCCTAAGTTTTGAATTATATCGTTTTGCACCTTCTATTATATAAAATATAAACATGTCAATTTACTAATCTTCACTTGGTTAAATCGATAGAAATTTTTATTTATTGAAATACTTTCATCTAATTAAGGTTTGTTTCAGTTGCAAAACATTAATATCGACAATAACATTTATAGCCTTCGTTTTTTCGCCCCTTAATTTAAAGTACTCATTCTGAGGGTCGGTCATCAGATTTCTGAGTTTCTAAGTAAATTTTTCATTTTTTTTGTTAGATGAATAAATTTAAACGAAAATTTCCAAATTATGTGAATTCTAATCCGATTTTTTACTTTTAATTTTGGAACGAATATTTATTAGTCTAAATTCGTATAATTTAGTCCATTCCC